TCTGATGGGGCCACAGAATATCAGTGTTGGGAAATTAGTCTCAACGCAGCTCCGTTGTAAAAAACTTTGACGGAAAGGAGGCAACTATTTTATTTATTATTTTGTATTTACTTCGTAAATTAATATTTTATTTGTAATTATTTTTGTATTATGTTTATTAAATTGTCTTGTGATGTTACCGAATAAACGTCTTCGATTTCATTCTATTCTATTCTCTATATGTTAGAGAATACGGCTTACAAAGCTTGTAGCAAGAATCACTTGTGTGCGGAAAATCCTTCAAATTTATTTTACGAACAGAAATACAACATATCATAAGAAATAAATATTGGAAAACAAGGACTGATATTACCCTAAATAAAATTTATAAATATACCAATTTTCTACCATTGACTTGAGTGTCTATGGATAATTGTATCGAGGTACTTAAGAAATGATAAACAACAAATCAGAGCTTAGCTTCACATTTTCCAAGAATAACATATAGTAAATTAATATACCAATATGAACCAACAGGCATCTCACTGGCATATGTCATCTAACAAAATGCCCTCTTAAGCCTAAATCCAAACAGTGGGAAAAGTAAAAGTGCGAATTATTAAAAGAATACTACTACACAGTTCTGTTAACACTCTCCAAAAAGTAAGCACGTCACCCAGACCCGTCCTTGCATTCATGGCTCATTGTATAAACGTCTATCAAGCAAATTCACCGTCACTTGTGGTCTACGACGATATACCTACGTGCTTGCAACTCCGTAATTTCCTGAGCTCCACATAATTGCTATACGGCAAAGTGTGAGGTTTTGCTGTCAACGCAAACCTCAGTTGACTGGAAAGGGTTCAATAAGAGTTTTGTGAACGCCTAGATGTTATTCTAAAAGTTTGCTTACGTCTTGTATTCTTTATACCTAAAAATCTTTTTCGATAAACACGAGAGTATAAATATAAATAATAATAATAATATAATGTAAGTGTAAATATGTGACAAAACAATTTCTTTTATTAAAACTAACTAGTTCAAGTTCTTTTGCGTTGCCTAGAAGAGATGACTAACAGCATAAGAACGAACTCTGCCATGTTTCTTTTATTGTTACGCTTCTAATAAATAAAAAATTGGTTAAACAAATAATAAAGATACTTTAAATAAGTAAATTAGTACGATGTGTATAGTAAGCTAGCTTTTTATATATATTTTTTTAACACAGATAATGACAACACTCTTTGTAGTTAGATAATTGTGGCTTAATATCAACAAAAATCGTGTAATGTACGTTAATTCAAATACAAAATTAAATTGATTAAAAATTAAAATAAAACATAATTACTTACCTACTTGCCAAGACGCAACTTAATGTGGAATCAAGCTGTTACAATCTCCTTACCGCAAACGTCGATTACGTCAAGGGAATTTATCACTTCACTGTACATTGAACATTCTATACAACTAGTAATTACCGCTTTATTGTTTACCATCACTGCTTACCACGACGCGACGTGTGAGTAAATGCTTGAGTACAAATGTAAAACTAACAGAAGAACTAGCCGTCTAACCAGCGAGGGAAGAAGTCTTACATTATTGGATCAGCAGGAACTATTTTACTATATTATTTTGTTAAAAATGTATAATATTTCTTTCTATTGTTCCAAATTTTTTCTTGCGTGAATTGTAGCTACGGATTCTATAAAAAAATACCTATTATATAAACGAATTTGTGAAACCTGATAGAAAAAATAAAATGCTATAGCTATAACACCAGTTGAATAGTATAACAGACACATTGATTTAATTAATTTTCAAATTTTGGATTTTGCTTTGAGTACTAAAATATGTATTTCATGAAGATTAATTGAAAACATTAAATTATACACCCAAGATCTATTTTAAGGCTCCAAACCAAGGTGACAGACAATTTTAATTAAATATCTTCTTCGCCAAGTTTCTAAATAAGGATAAAGTCTATCAATTACTTTATTTACAAGAATTATTCCTAACACGTAACCTGAAATATTAAATCTTTAAATTTCTACAATATCAAAGTCAGCCTTTTAAAAAATAATAATTTAAAAATCAATTCCAATTTCTTATTTTGAATTACGTATATATTTATATAAGTTCGACTGTACGTAGTCCAAAATGTGGTGAAACTTCCTTTGATTCCATAATTTTGACAGGTCATAGACGAAGAAATAAACAGTAATGAAGCTTCATTTTTTCGGGTCCCTCATTTATGAATACCCTGATTTAAATATTTCAAAGACGATATTTAACAAAAGCAATTTTCCCAAAAAACGAGCAATTTTTAACCACATTTTTAAATAAAATTACGATATCAATTTGCGTTAGGGAAGAGTAACCAGTCCAGCGTTGGTAATTTGTTTAAAACTTTTAAGCCCCAACGTTATTTCATAGAATTTTTAGATTGATCATTTGATCCGCAGTTAATATTATTGATGAATCTGTCATTGTTACAATTTTTCTAAAACTGGAAATCCAATCTTTAATTAAAAAAATAAAGCATTTCTCGAAGCGAGTGAAACCTTATATAATATCATTTAATTATTAAAATCTGATTATTTTAGGTTATTTAGTATTAACATAGAAAATGTTATCCATAGAATTTGATCAATAGGCTTTGTATTTGAAACGTTTCATTACCAACAATTCAACAAACTACATAATAAGCTAATAAGCCATTTACAATTCTGTTAATTTCCAATTGAATTTTGGTGAGATTCTAATTAGGTGGAGTAAGAAAAATAACACAATTCTATTTTAAACGGACAAATTAAACAAATTTTAGTTGATTTAGTATGGAAGGGCAATGATTCGATAGTGAACATTGCATTAAATCGCTTATTCGAAAATCAAGACTTCCCGGATCATCAAATGAATAATCAGTCTTTTAAAAGCCTTTTCTGAAAGCTATTACGATACTGGTTCTATTTGTGGAAGAATAAATACCGATAGAATAAAAAATAATAAAATGAAATTGCAAATGAAAACGACAGACTGGTAGTCCCACATCCGGACAAGGGCTAATATCCTGTGGAGCAATGTTTATAGGCAACAAACAACGAGTCAGAACAAACAAATCCGATGAGCCCCGATCCTAACTTCCTCTAATTGTTTGCTGCCCACCAACTTTGTTACTGCTGATACTTTTCTTGCCAAGATAAATGGAACGTCCAAAAAATTATCTTAATCGTCTCTTTATACTTATTTGAAGACCAAAGTTTGGGTCAGGCTTTTTTCATCAGGCTCTGATTGCTTGAACTGTCTTATACTTACATAATATTATATAATTAACATACTAACATACTGAACTAATTAATACCCTTGATAAGAGTTAAATTGATCTAGACAAAACTTTCTGATAGACGTCTGTAATAGTAAATGCGTACATTTCCTTTGATATAAATTGATCTGGCAATGAAAGATCACTTATTATGGGAGCAAATGAAGCGATAACACACTTGTGTCTTTAGTAAATTGTCCAATATATGTAGAGCTCTTCGAATAAGTAGATCTGGATTGCGATTTATTTTATAACGCAGATCATAGAGTCACGGTTCAATTTATATTGGTCTATAAAGGGGCGCGATCTGCGAGGGGTCTTCTTATGCTGGTCGCGTTGCATCTGTATAAATTCATACAAGCAACGGGCGCCTTCCGCCGCGACGTCGCTTGTTATGTCAAGGAAATGGACCTCTGTGTAGCGGAACCGTCAAAAGTGAAGAATCTGTGTTTCACGGTTAACGTTTTCATTATTGTACCGATTACTAACAAACACACGGTTGCGTCGTAGTCCACGTTTGTAGACGTTCTCTTGTTTTATTGTGGACCTTACAAACGTGGTAATCGATGCGCGTGTGTTTTTGCAGGTTGAATCGCTGGCTTTTTGATATTGGGTATTGATTTTTAGTCTGGCTTTCTGCTGTTTACAATTATCCTTTTATATTAGAGCCTAAACACAATAGCAGTTATCTGAAACTATGGAATGTTGTTAGCGAAATTGAACTTCACGGTTTTCATCTGCGGACTGTGATTCGTGACCCGCACGAAATTTCGATATTCCTTCCACTTATTTAACATCCAGATTTGCAGACGAAGTCTAACCAACCAACTACAAAAATTATAAATTGATTTGAAATATGTTAGACCCGGTGATTATTGGTCACACATCGCTAACATTACACCGACGGGCCTGCCTCGTATAATGTTTTCTATAAGTAGGATTTAGTATTTACATACAATTGAAAAATTGTATTGAGGTATGTTAAAATGGATGGTAAAATGCAATAAAAAACAATCCAATTAGAGTACGTTTCGCTGAATATCGATTCGTATCAATATGAAGTATCCCCCTATTTGTAACTGTTTGAGCACTAGCTGTGTCATTTCCGATATTGCGAACTACCTTATTGATAACGTTAGTTTTAATTGTTCCATGAAATTTGATAACACACATTCCGTTCGTACTGAATGCGGTAAATGTTTCATATTCGATATTGCAGTCATATTTTACGAACAAAGCGATCGCTTTCCATCCAACAAAAGACCGTTTTCGAAAAGCACATAGGTGTGTGTATACATATTTACACATAGTTCTTTTTAGCAAAGTAATTTATTATATAGTTTATTTCATTATTAATATCTTTAGTCAGTTTAATTGTAACGTATGTAAAAGAGAAAATAAATGTATATAATAAAACTATTTAAAGAAAACGGGGAGACAGTCTCCCCGTGATCTAAGCTGCTGCAAAGCATCCGAAACGTCGGGCAGTAATTAAAATAATATTCAAATACGTTTAACTAATATATATCGCGTTTTTAAACCGTTAAAGCGTTATATATGTTGTATTTAATAAAACTATTGTTAAGAGGTTTAATTTATAATCATACATCCTTAACTTAAACACGGTGGATATTGTTATGCTGAAATTGGAAAGCCATATTACTAATTATTATAAAATAAATGTTTTAGGCTATTCCTTAATCTAATTCTTATACGTTATTGCTTCATCATCTTCTTTCTTTACAGCTTGAATAAGAACGAGGGACATAACGGCGTTTATGACCTGAAATGAGTAGGAGAATTGCAATTAAAAATAACGAAGAACATATTTAATTGAATACAGTGCGATGCAATATATTTTCTTAGAATGTTTTACTCTTAATATAAATTATTGAGTTTGTATAATTGGTATAAAATATGTGTTACGTACATTCTCGCTCATCAGAAGTAAATAAAATAAGCTATATATACAATTTTTATTTTGGACAACATGTAGACACGATACTTGAAAAAAAAACTACCAACGCATAAGACTAAGATATATGCGTGTGCTCATAATAATGATGTTTTTAAAAATGAAGTTTTACTTAAATAAAACACTTTTAAATAGTTAAAAACGCAAAATATATTAGTAAACTTTTTTACAATAGTGTTTTATTTAAATGTGTAAGTACTACTCGCGTAAACTACAGATACTCGGCAGTTTAACTTGTTAAATTAATCGTACGACAGACGATCATACATCTTTTATCGTAATATTATTATGAGAACTAGTGTTCATGTGTTCGAACACCTGCCTCTGTCTGTTTCACAGATTTTCACAGCAAAGTTACTGACAAGACTTTTATGCACACACACACACTCGACCGAAATAATTTGTTGTTAACCAAGGATCACTTGGGCTTTACACATTGAGCTATAGCGGTGGATAAGTTGAAATTGAATATGGAACTTAAAATAAACATAATATATTATATTAAAAACACCTTTGCTCCATACATGGAACATACTGAAATGGTGACGATGATGAAATATAAAAAAATAACTTACGCAAATCATGCAAGAGGCTAGAACAATTCCGGCCAGCCAGCCAGTCCTTCCCTCCAAATACCAAGTGAGCTCGTCAACACATCCGTGGAAGTATGCGTTTCCGGTGACCGAGTCCCGGCACTCGGATGGCAAGGGTTTGTTCAAGTTTAGGTAATCCATCGGACCATCAGCACCACAACATCCGATCTAAAATTTATGTGTGTTAAGAATTGTATATACATATCTATAATAATTTTATTATAAGGCTAATTAATTTATTCTTTATTTCATTGAAATACTATACTATACTAATAATATTTATTTCGCATTTATAAAAATGCGAAAGTAACTCTGTCTGTCTGTCCGGCTTTAACTCCGAATCTACTGAACTGATTTAAATGAAATTTGGTACACAGGTATTTTAGAGCCTGAGAAAGGACATAGATTTAATGTCGAAAAAGGGTTAATAGGGGTTGAAAGTTTATATGGAAATGTGGTTTTTGAAGCTAAAACAATTAAACTTTCTTCTTTGGCTTTTTGGGAATAGGAGTGGGAGTGAGAGTAGGGGTGGGCGTGGGCGTGGACGTGGGGGTGCGATTGGGAGTGGGAGTTAGAGTAGGAGTGGTGAGAGGTGAGAGCGTTGCGGCAAAATAGCACTTACAACATAGATTGGCTGCTTTAAATGCGCCCTTACATAAATTAATAAACAACTAAAAAAAGTCACTATTCCACGCGGGCGAAGTCGCGGGCACAGCTAGTCATAAATATTTTACCCTTATACGGAACTGTGTAATAAAAAAACAAGGCTATGCTTGTCTATAAGTTAATTACTTATGTACCAGTTTGTAAAATTATGTTGTATTATATATATAAATACTTAGTTAAATGTAACGATATATTAAGATATATAGACATACACGGTACACCAATTAACGAGGAATAAGCGATAAGCTTTTAAATTAAATTTAAGTATAAAAATTTAAAAACGTACTTATTATATTAGTAAGTGAATTTGAGCTATCCTGAAGTAGTAGGACTAACACGATTAAAACAAAAGAGAACTGGATCCCCTCGAATAAGTACGAAACGAACTGCACGTGTCATTAGATTAGTGCAGTTCCAAATGACGTCCCACTAGGCCTCTTTCGAAATCAACCGTCCATTTAGCAAATGTGCTTTGGGCCCGATCGACGTCAACTTGTCTTTTTGCCACATCGGATTGGCCTCTTCACCTGATAGATTCAGTGATTGCTCCGGCTGGGTACTTTTATGAAAGCATTTGATTGCCTCTGCTTGATTTTTTTTATTTTCAACCGACATCGGTTCGGATATAAATGGATTTTAGTTTTATCAAGTAATCAAATCAAAAAAATCTGCTAACCTTGCAAATCCGATGTAGATTTTTATCAAAATTATATAAAATACGCAAAAAACAGTTTTTCGTTGTTATAATAATCGTGTGAAAGATAATATGTAAATTTATATTAAAATATGTGGGTAGTTAGTTGTTCCATTGAATAAAATATCCCATTAAACTGGTAACAAAAATCCCATCCACTAAACTTTGCAAATTAATCAATGAAAAAAGTTCAACAGTTCAAGAACGACATAATGTATAGCTTCTAAACATTTAAAACGTCCAAACTATTTTGAGTCTTATTTTATGCTGTCCTAATATTAATAACTTTTTACAATTGTATAAAGACTAACAATTAAATCATAAATGTAATAAATAACTAGTTTATAGAATTGTAAAAATACAAATAAAACTTTTCATTCATTTCATAGATAGCACGTAAGGAAAAACATCTCAAATGTATAACTTGCAGGAAGTAAGACATCCTTAATTTTATATAGCGACTCTTATATTAAGAAATCACACTTTGTAAAAACCCAATGTAAAAGGAACTTCGTGGAAAGACTGTATAAAATAGCAGCAATTTTTGAAGGAACTTTATGGATATAAAGTTCCTTCAAAAATTGTGACACATTTGTAAACTAGCCATGTACCAAGGAAAAAAAAATTATAACTTAAAAAAATAGAAATACTTGGATTTTTAATTATATTAAACTTAAAGTATTAAAATAATATTATTGAGTCTCTTCCTATATAAGCGTAATGTATTTATGACGCTGTCTAGACTATAGAGTACAACACAACTCAACAACACTCACTCCTTCTTGAACCATTCTCAAAATGTCCCGACTCCCTTCGTGCTGCGGGTTATTGATGAGCCTCACGAGTACTTCTTTGATGATAGGCTGGATGCTTGAGTCATAAGTCGAGAAGTCTAGGACAACGCAAGCTCCAATCAGACCAAACACGAATAGACCTATTTGCGTTGCTATGTACTGAAAAAAAAAGGGTTAAACAGCTGTAGGACTAACATCGTCGATGGTTATGTCCCGAAATTATCGTTAAACAAATTTAAAATCATTAATTCCCAATGCTAGAGATAGAGAATACGAATTCAGACTTTATTATTATTACGATTTTTTAATGGATGTAGAAAGATGATACGAAAACGCAATTTTTACAGTTTCATCATTTATAGACGGTGGTTCGTAAACCGGACGGAATTTCAATATTATACCCACCCATTTATAACCAAATATCCGAATTTCCAGACGAAGTCCAACATGTTTCAGAATAACTATAAAATCATTAAATCAGTGCTGTGCCGTTGATTATTAGCCACACATTGACTACTATAAGACTTCTATTACACGCATCAAACGTATATGTTATAATTGCTCCAACTGCCTACTAGTCGTATTACAACAACCTCGCTAACGATAAGAGAAACAATTGTATGGAGTATAATTTTAAATGTGAACACTGTTTCAAAATTAATTGTTTTACTCACAATATACAATAATTGAATGTTCTCCATCAACGCTGAACCACATCCGAGGAATGCGACCACCATAATCCCAAGAGTTCCTATTAAGATGATGTAAATACCGATGAAATACTTCTGCAGTTCAAGTATCTTCATCCACTCGTTGAAACCTGGTTCCACGCATATCCACAGACATAGAGCAAAGATGGATAGGCCGAAGAGCTAAAACAATTAAAAACAATAATTTTATTTTTATAAATTATGTTTCTGATCAATATCCCTTTGAGTCTTGTTGAGGCTACAGATAAAAAAATAAGTGTCATTTAATTGCAATGCAAATTGGTCGATATAGCTGATTCATAATAAAAATAACGTATAGTGAGATACGGATAGAGACGTCAGGGGATCTAAAACTTTTATAATCTCATTAATTCCACGAGCGCCGTCAGGGTCCATTTGAAAGGATAAACAAATAACTCGTATGAGGATAACGTTACTTTATAGACATTGAAAATTATTGGAAAATTCTGACATCACTGTTAACGTAAGTGATTGCTAAAATAGAAATAATGTTAATGGAAGTTAATAACAAAGAAGATATTTACTATCACATAATATTTGCATACTTTACATAAAATATACATGCGCCAGAGTAGCTCCCAATATACAACAATATATTGTCCGAGCTTGGTTTGAAATGTCAGCTTAGATAAGTGGTAAGGTAGCTAAATGTGTACACGACGTTTAAAATCATTGTAATTGAATAAGTTAATCTAAAAACACTGAAAAAGCGTATAATATACGTTTTATCTATATAAAAGAACGTTTCGTATGATAAACGCGGCATACGAAACATTCCAAGAAGACGGATAGCCGCGTCGTCTTTGAGTAATCAAGCCAAATAGAAATTAGGTCGCGGCTCTATCGCCACTACGTTATCTTCCGAACAAAAAAGAGCCTTATCTACGCATCATTATACTTTGTCTGCAAAAACCTTTGTCGAGACAACAACTCTGTTCGCAATCCATTAGGGCCAAGCCAAATGACGCGGAAAGTTGACTCGTACGTTTGCACGGTTGTAGCTGGAAAAATCATATAATGCTCGGGTTTGTACCGCCATTAATGCTCGAATACACTCGCTGATACACGCTTTCACGATGATAAATGGCGCAATCTGTGAACGAAGCTGGACTAACTAATAAATTTGAAATAAAGAAAAATTGGAGCGATCGAAATTGCCTGTACTGCAATGTTCCTCACACTGTTTATCCTTTACTAGCCGTACCCGCGACGTCGTGTGCGTCCCGTCGTTCTTGCGAGTTAATCTTTAAAGATAGACATATACTGTCACGGACACTTATTAAATCATTTAAAGGGAAATTTTTAAATACAGTTTTAAAGTTTCTTGAACCGTTTTTGCAGAATACACAACGGACACCCTCAAAAATCCACTTTTCCCCTCTTTTTTCTACATTTTCCAATAGTTGTTAACGCCTTCTTCGATGCGAAGCCTATCAACAGATTTTTTTTTCCATAACCAGTACTTCCTGAGACTAGCGCGTCCAAACAAACTCTTCTGCTTTATAATATTCGTATAGATAGAACTGGAGAGCGCGTTCAGTGAAAGGTATACTATAAATCGATGCGACTCATTGATAATTGTGACCACATAGTTTAGCCAAGAAGAAAGTTTCACCGAATCACTATTAAATATTCGTTCGTAAGACTCTTATGTATTTCGTTTTGCGTTATTCGGTGAGCAAAAGACAGACTTTTTTGCGATGTTAAAAATTTATGGCGTCGTAAAAAGTCGCAGTGAGCTCTGCTACGCCAGCGGCGTCTCTTAAGCGCGAATTTGACATTACAATGTAGATACGTGAATATTTTCAACGTTAAATTTTATAACACATATATCAGGAAGTGTGGGATTGTCGTAAAATGTTAGTTACTCTCCAACTATTCATTGTGTCACCGTTTTGCGGAGATTATAAGCATTAAGTGGCTTCGGGGCGTTTAAGCGGCGTCAGAGCGTTGTATCTCAAGAGATACCTGCAGAGTTGGAATAATAAAGAGTTTTACAACGTTTCAAAATGGGACTTTTTCTCGCAATTCAACCGCAACGTGCACTTAAGGGATTTGAATATCTTATGTGGAAGAAGATTTTATCTATTCTACGCAACACTGGGGAGCGGGGACGTGTCGAATTTAAGATTTAAAACAATCATTTATTTCCGACAATATTTATGGAATATCGTTTAAATAAAATGATTCTTACATGTTTATATATTTTCTACTGACAACAATTGTATGTCTGGAAAACATTGCTCGTAAGCTAAGGTTGCTCTTTCACTTCTGTACTTTACTTACAAAATTTAATATGGAGTAGGGTAACGGCTCATTTATCATTAATTATTAAGCAACATTCTAAGCGCAGTACTTTTAAGTCATAAGGATTGTTGTTTATTAATTCACAATTATTCCTTAGCTATAAGTTAGCTGTAATTCACTGCTTCTCAATTTCTTGTTTTCAATTTAAAGTCTTTATTGTCGTACGAAGATAAATTAAAATTGAAGCCTTGCGAAACAGGTTACGGGTTGCAAATGGATTAAATTATGGCGGTTACGTTTGATTGAATGACATTGAATGCTGGCGGTTACTTAAGATGTTTTGAATTCGATTAAATGTTTTCAAAAACTACATTTAAATATACATCTTAGGCAATATACAAAAGCAGCAGTAATAATTTTAATAAAAACTTTTAACGGTTTTAAACGAGAAATATATTACAAACCAACGGGGTTTGTCGGGCGGTAATTAAAATAAATGAAAAATAAGTTAGCTTCTGTATGTCACATTTTATACCGTTAAAAGTGTTTTATTTATAAAAATGTGTCATATTTTCAAAATTGTATCAAAATTTTCAAGGGTATTCACTGTTCTCTATCTCTTCTACTCACCTCTTCTTTTCTCTTCAGGTAAGTTTTTCATTTAAGACTGTCGACAGTTGTTATGTTGTACGTTAAGCTGCGAAACACTAGAGTTCTAATATTATTTAACTTTGGAAACTAATCTATTTACATTAATAGATTCACTTTTTCATTGATAGGATGGTAAAATACTCCAGCCTTTTAACTTCTTGACAAGATGCGCTATAGTCAGAAAAGAACAAGGTTTCTTAAGGGTTAAGAGCTTTTAAAAGAGCTATTTCAGATTATACAAAAAACTCAGTAACATTGAAATAAAATAATTATTAAAGTTGTCACTTGAACACGGCCTCGGTCTGTTTAATTAAAATCAAACGTATTCTATAAATAAACGCACCGGGTGACCCCCTTCGTGTCGATGAAGAATTTGAGAGTTTGTTTATTTCCTCACACCGAACAATAATTTAAACAATGGCGCCCCGTTTAATAGAATGTGCCCCAGTGCAATGGGGGCGCCATTAATCTTGGCACAAATCCAGAAGTCAATTATTGAATCCGACCTCCAGGATACAAGTCGGACGATTATTTCTCATTTGCACTGCGCCTTAACGAGTGCAGATTTGAATGACACTTGACGTTTAGGGTTTTTGGCGTCGGCCCCACTTTCCAATTTACTGTGCGGCCTGCCGATTAATATTCGTGCCAGCTTCGATAAATAAATGTATCAAGCGATTTAGCTTGAAAGCTCTTTGTACTGGGAACTGAGTTGAATTCTATTTGCGCCTACATGGAGCGGTATTAATTGCTTGTAGTTTAAATATACAAATGATTGTTTGTTTAATACATTTCACGGAAAAAAACTTTCAATATGTTTTATTATTCACGATAATAATACTCAGAAACTACTGGTTCGAATAGATTTTTTTTGTGGTGTTTTTTAGAGACGAGGTTATAGGCGATAAAACATTGCGCTGCGACTAATAGGAGCTAAGAAACAAGGAGAAATGTGGAAAAAAAACCGGGGAGAATAATATAAGGATAAATATATCCTTGTCAGGTTCCGTTACGTACGCTGCGAAAACGGCTCAAATACCCAAAAAATATGTAGCAAAGACTGATTCCTTTTTACATGATCTAAAAATTTCCACGACAGTATACGTCTCTCTTTTAAGATTACATCGCAAGACCGGGAACGCGGACAATGTCGTGGATAGTGGACCGGGTCGCAAAAACAAATATGATCGAATTCGCACAGCTAGTTAAATATATTGTTCAGTGAATCGGACATAAAAATGTGTCTAATCGAAACGTAAAGAAAATCTCTCATTTAAATTTAACACACACAACCTAAAGGTGTATTAACGAGAAGGTATAAATTCCTTACACTCATAATTAACAATTTATTCCACGCAATAAATAGGAATTACAATTTAATTACGGGATTCAAAGCAATCCCATACATAACCCCACAATGGGGATGTGATGTTTAATTTTGCTAATTAACTCAGCTTAATAACCGCCTGTATCGAGCGGCAAGTTATGTGGAGTGCGAGGATTTAGTGCCGACGCCACGTGTTACTAATGCCTTAGAATGAAAACATACGGGGGCATATTTGGATGGCAAACGCATATATTATTTAAATCACAATTAGCGAAATTTTCGCAATGAAAAATCAACTATTAACAAAGAAAAAGGTTTTGCAACTGTTTAAAGACGGAATTCGAGCATAACAATTTCTACTAATTAAGTTTTACCACTGTGGCACAATGGATAATTTACCTCTTTCAACTTGGGATTGAAATTACATCATATAAGTATAGAAGTTTTTGTTGACCACATAGAAGTCTAATCAGCACATCGAAGTTAATAAAAAAAAGTAACAATGTCACTAAAATATCTCCTGCTCCACTCACAGAAAACAAATTAGTTTATTTATTTATAAATACTTATTATCTTTTTAGGGTGTATAAAGATCTTACACTTTTTGGGCTACGCGTGAAATTAAAATTCGTATTTTTAACACTAAACTTCAGATAACTTAGGTTACCCTTCTGTGTACAAAATTACCGAAAGGCGCCATAATTTGCTTGTCCATCTAAAATTGTGTGAAACATCTGCTTTTTGTAGCTTCTGCTATTTTGTAATTTAATATTACGACTACTTTTTTGCTTAAAATTAAAAATAAAAAACAAGTTGCTGATTTATTTTGCTAAATAGCTATCTATGATTAATAGTGATATCGCTATATTGTTTAGAATATGATTCAGGTACTGAATATGTCATACTCGGAAAACAGGACTGAGCTAATCTTACTGATAACAAATGCCCTTTATTTTAGACTACTCGCTGAATAGAGTGAGATAGCATATATGCAATAAAGCGAGGGAAAAGAGATAAAATATGAGCGTATTATGACTCCAATAAAAAAATCCTTGCAGCACATATAGATATAAACTACAATATTAATTACATATTGTAGTTATTATTGTAATTTTAGCACCTTGTCAAAATAATATAGGTTTTGTAATCCAATCGAATCCAATCGTTCTTATTAACAAACGTAAGCGTTCGTTTATAACAGACAAAACCACTTTTAAATGAAATCATAATATTAGGACTATACTCGTACAAAACATACAGGGTTTCTACAAAACGATCTTATTAAGTTGGAACAGATTCTCCAACAATACAATTTTCCGATTCGTTGCCGTTGAAGTGACTGAAAGGGAACGAGTGTTGAACCGTGAGAACGTGCCTCTAATTCAAAATAAACAGCGCAAGCTAGATCGAAACTCACCCACAACACAACATTGAAGCAGAACAGCGTATACTTTATACAATATATTTGGGATTCCAGCTTTCCCACAATTGGCCCTTGGCCATCTCTTCCAAGCCCAGCCATCACTTTTAATCACAAAACTCGACCACTTACATTTACGGTAGAATCGCTACTAGCTTATCAGATAACACTAGCTAGGTTATCTCTTGAAAAGATAACTAAGAGATAACGGGCTACAAATTGCCACACCTGTTTATTGTTCTGTTTTATTAATAGTGTTGCCGTAATTGAGAAGTGGCTACGTAAAATATCTTAGTTAGTGTTGCCTATTTATTATTGTATTATATATATTTAATGAGTGAATTTTAAACGATATTTATACAGGGTTTCAATAAAACAAGCGCTTGATCCATACTTTAAGTGTGGGGCTGTAAGATGTTTCGAAAACAACATCAACAATATTCACATATTCAAAAATTGTAAAAAAATGTTTAAATAACTTTTACATTCACGTTCAATTGACCCTACACACTAACAAAAGTTTGAGTTGAGTTGAAAAAGGTGGTAGAAATATCTAAATACCATAAAAAAATCATCGTCCACAGATCAAAGCCGTCAAAGCAGTCTAATCGCGTTTCGGTGTCAGTCTGTGGATTTTCGAAAAATTAAAGCCAAAATAAGTCGATAGCACATCTTGTTTACATATTATATAGGTGATGTTATATAGCTATTTTTATTTACATTCAAGTGAACCACACGATTGTCCGTCCTTCTCAATCGTTAAAAAGAGATATTTTAAGTTTTCGTTTTTAATTACGAAAAAGCGTTGTTCTTGATATTGATTGTAGTATATATATATCTTTAAAATAATCGTTCCATAAGAAGTTAAAGTAGACAATACAATAACGCGCAGAAAAAGCATTTCAATCAATGGGTATAAAAAATAATTGAAATTGCGCCGGCGTTAAGAGTATCGTAACTATAAAATATTCAAGTCGTTGGCCTATATCTGTGGCCTTGTCACCTCCACTGTAAATTCACAGCTGAACGGTTTCATGTTTTCACTTCGGTTTAAGCTTGGAGGGGAACTGTGAGGCTTCCACGTGCTTAGAATTCTCGTAGGAGTTTATAAATAGGACGTTTTTAAATATCCTGGTTTAAACGTAGACTTGAAAAATTAGACCAATTGCTACATATTATTTGAAGTCATGATTTCCTCGAATCATTACAATTTTACATGTTGATGTTTTATGCATGTATATTTTATAGCTTTTATTAATTAAAAATCGTATTGGAATGGAGAAAGAGGAACAACAAGTTAGTAACAATCATAAAAATAATGTTGATTGTGAATTTTAGTCCCGGCTGTGTTATCTATTGCTTTATTTATATTTTTATATACTAAAGACTTTATACAAATTAAGTGGGTACCACAATTTTTTCAACCGTGACTGATATTTTAATAAAAACAATTTTTAACGGTTAAAAATGTGAAATGTATTAGTTAAGTTAACCTATTGTCAATTCATTTTAAATAATATATTTCGCGTTTTAATCCGTTCAATGTGTATTGCTCGCGTAAACTACAGGCATTACTGATATAATTAGTTACTCTTGTTTAATATCATAATTTACTATTAAAAAAGATAATTATATATCTATGCATGCAGAATTAAAATTACAAATGCCTGTTGGGTTATTTTAATATCAACATTATCTCATTATAAGATATCAGCTATGAATCAATGCCTGTTTAAGTTTACGCGAGTAGTAGACATTTAAATACAACATGTTTGACGGTTTAAAACTTGAAATGTATTAGAATTAACCCATTGACAATTTATTTTAACTAATCATATATATATAACACATTCCATGTTTGTTCGCGTTATGGAGGTCTAGGGAGTCTTCCGCGACCCCAACAATAATTCACTTGTATCGATGGTATATCCGATAAAACGTGTACAAAATCCAATACGCGGATTGGAGCACAGCAATGGCTGCGGTCCGCAAACTGTAAACATAAATAAGGAAGATGGACGACGTTTTAGAATAACTCCACGCACGAATGTTACTCGTAAATTCTACGCTTGATGTAACATCAATTTGGAAATTCCTAGCGTTCACTTCGGAAACGCGGTTTCATATCCACATTAGTACTGTACATTATTATTTGATCTTACTTTATTTTCTTATATTTAGAAAAAAACATATAATAAAAGCGCGTTTTTTCATAAATCTGTTTTAGTTTTCTCTGAAAACACACATTATTTCGTTAGATCGTTATTAGAGTAGAGGACTCGAAGACAAAGAGTCTTATCAATGTACAACGAATCATTTAATACAATACAAGCGAGCTTCAGTTTCTTTTCGTTTGTGTGTTTGTGATTAGAGCCCAAGACCTCTCGCTCTGAACCCACTGCAAAGCAATGATATAAATCATGGTAGTTCATATCACACATTATAAAAATAGAAAACTATATAATTTTAACAACAATTTGTAAGTAAAAAGTATTTAAGTTAAGTTAAATAGATAAAAAGCTATCGTTTGTCTGTAACTTTATAAATTGTTTTATTTCTATGAGATACCTTTTAAGAAGCTAAAGCCTGGAAAGCTATGAAGTTATAATTAAAAATTATGGTCTGCTTAAAAAAATATTTAAATAAGCTTGTAGGATTCCAATTCGACCTGGTTAGGGGCCGGTCACTTGAAAAAACATAGCAAATATTTAAGACAAGTACATCGGCGACCAGCGATGCGAACGATGAGCCAAACAAATCCCTACGGATGGAGCGTCTGGTGAATATCTTAATGTAAGAAATAAATAATATTTATTGTGTTTTACACTAAATACTAAAAGTCTTTTTTACACGATGAACGTAGCGATTCAAGCGTGAATATTGCATTGCAAAGTTACGTTTTTAATTATTATTAATGTAACAACGATTTTCATGAAATTAATTTAAAATGTAATCACTTTTCATAATTAGTTTGTCCAAAAGTGATTAACGCAACATGTCCGGAGGAATTACGAACGAAAGATAACATTATTAAAATCATTAACATCAAAATCAAAAATGTAACATTAAAATAGATCGTTTAAAATTTATCATCCGCATTCAATTATGCTGATGTTGCTTCAAATTATAACGCCCAGAGAATTTTATCACAGTTTGTAAAATGCAGTAAGGTAATTAAATTTCTATGAGAAGGACAGATAAGGACCTAGAAGATAGACAAACATGGAGTTAACTTGATGTAAATACTGTCTATAGTTTACGCGAGTAGTACACATTTAAATAAAACACTTTAACGGTTTAAAACGCAATATATTAGCTAAACTTATTTAAAAATGATTTTGTCGTGATTTGGTCACGACAAAATCACGGCTGCTGCAAAGCATCCGAAACGTCGGGCCGAAGTTAAAAATCATTTTTAAATAAGTTTAACTAATATATCGCGTTTTAAACCGTTAAAGTTTTTATTTAACTTGATGTAACGTAAAATACCCGAGGGGTAAAAAATTTGGAGGGGCTTTGGATATATTTTGGGTTTGGATAGTCGGAAAGCCATACACTGAAATCAAAACAAGTTTCTCACTGCATTTATAACAAAGGTCCTTGGATGGACCTGGATGGAATTTCGATATTCTTACTACCACATTTAATATACAGATTTTCCAGATGAAGTCCAAGGTGTTGCAGAAATATTACAAATTCTTGAACCCGTTGGGGATTGAACTCTCGACCCGTCTACCATTACACAAAATGGAGATAAGGCCCTTTTAGAATCAATCCATTTTATTTACTGAGATTTGTTTATTCTGAGAATTTTGATTGTGGAATAGAGATGTCTATCGAGTTATCTGTGACAACGATCGATTATTCGTTGACCGGAAAATCTGGCACCTTTCATGATTATTAACAATTATATTTTACTAGCTAGGATACGCAATAGTAAATAAAAGTAGGTATTTTAAAATTCTACGATGATTTATAAATTAGCTAGTATTTTCTCAATCTTTGTGTCTGGGTGATTTTTCTCCAACATTAAAAAGGATATGCTGTGATATAATAAGCTTTATGATACATGAACCACTTTGGTGGAAGCTTACATCCAACAGGTGTACCAATAATCTTGCACGCGCCAGCATTAATATACCATAACTGTACATTATAGTTTAAGGAAATATAGACTGTTTAATGTATTTTTATTTATATTACCTGTATATTAGTGATAATAGGAGTCACATCGTAACGTTTGTTAGTCTTCGACTAATTGAATAAAGCACACGTGTACTGTTAATCGAATCCTTTTCGTCTCTTCTTAGAAGGTGATCGTACTCCGCGAGATTGAATATTAACAAGTATAAAAGCCCGACTTTGGAAGTTTAATTTCGTTTGAGTGAAGCGGAGCTTAACTCCGTTGACAAAGCTGTAATTTGGTGCGGCTTAATAAAGAAAGGTACAAAGAACACACCGTTCGCCTTCAATATGGTCTGCCGTTGCACTCTCGCTCGAAATTAATCTGCAAGAAGCCATTGCGGTGCGACGGTGACTATTTACAAAACCGGGAGCATACTCCCCCCTCATTTTCACGGGAAGGTGCAGGGCTGTCAGCTGTTACTTTATTTAGATTTATACGCGTGCAGCGACGTGTTTAGTGGCTATATTTTTCCTGCTGTCAACTCTACTCGACATATGTTTAAATTGCAATTTTCATGCAATATGTTTAGAATAAATTTTTTTGCTTGAATTGCTTCACTTTCGCGCAATGTTTAAACTTGTTGCGTAACATTGCGTTTTGCGCGAGAGGTCCTGGATTCCAATCCCGGAAATCAAACAAACTTGCCATCGAAGTGACAGACGATGGCTTCCAAAGATGCAATATTTTTTTATGAGGAGGACAGACAGTCGTTAAAATACCACAGCCACATGACATTTAGACTAGAAAATAATATATCTCTTTTGGCATTCATTTAGTACAATGTTAGTAAGATATAAATATCATTATATGCGCGATCGACCTTTAGCGATCGGTTTTGGATTTTCGGAAACCCACCGATTAAACTTCAAGCCCGTCATTTCTATATAAATTGCGACATACTTAATAAAGACTACGC